TTTCCGAGACGCTCAGTTTGACTATAAGCTCGCTGAAATCGGAGTTCGGGAGCTTTCAAATTTAATTTTTGAAGTTTCCAACTAGCTTTTGCCTCAAGATTCGTGCCCGATCAAGATAATTTTTGTGTGATGTATCAATGGTGAACTTGTATATCAGAATAATCAGAGAGAAAAATCCTCCATCTCCAGCCCTCTGCCTCTCCCAACTAGCCATAATGCCTTTGATGCTGGTAAGCTCCTAAGACCTGGCGAAGCTTGTGCTACAATACACCAGGATGTCAGCTTTCCAAAGGATGCTGCTTCAACAAAACCTACACTTGCACCTCTTTTAGGCCCATCTCTTTCAAGGAATAATAGTCCTGATCCTCAGTTGGCAGCAAGGGTTCATAAAACTCATGTTCCCCCTATAGGTGTAAAGATAGGTAATGGTGACCAGAAAAATACTCCATCAAACTACTTAGATAGGAAATCGTCAGGTTTAATGGATCCTGATGATCTCATAGCAGCATTATCAGACATAGTTTTGTCTAATGAAAATATCATGAGACAGTTTGGTCTACAAAAGGAAGGCGATGATGACCCTCATAACTCTCTCTTCAATTTGCAAGGTATGAAAAACCATAGTAATAAGCACTCTTCCGTTCAAAAAACTGATTCTGGACAACAAAATATTTCATCTGCAAACCAATCGGCCAATGCCTCATTTCCTGATCTGGTTAGGAATTGTCCTGCCTCAGTGTATTTTAACAATCCAGAAGAGAGACCCCATAAACAGTTCGAAATGAATAGATCTTCTCTCCCCTCCAATAGCCCATATGTGAACGGACCTTCTGCTCCTGTTGGTAATTCAGTTGTTTCTCTTGTTCAGTCTCCAAGCAGCACAGATGGCTCTAATGCTTCATTTAAAAGCTATGGAATGAGTGGACATTCAGTGAATGGATTAGATTCAATGATGGGAAATCATGTTGCTGCTACCAATATGCCACCTCTGTTTGAGAATTCTGATGCAGCCTATGGATTTGATTCACTTGGTATGGAAACTAGGGTCCTTGGAGGCGGTCCTTCATCTGGAGCAAATTGGAATCCGTTGAATTTGGAAAGTCTTAATAAAATTGGACGTCAAACACCCTCTGCCTTTCATTTACCATGTCTTGATCCTTATTTTATTCAATACTTAAGCGCATTTCAAGCTTCAACAAACAGTAATGAAACTTCATTGGAGATGGGCTGCATGAGTAATTCTTATGCGGAGTTGCTAGAGATGAAGAAAGCTCATCTAGGAACAGTGTTTCAACCACAACATCACCTTGGCTTGCGATTTTTTGGTAAATCTGGTTATTATGGGAATCCTGCTTGTAGTCTAGGTATGTCTTATCCAAGACATCCCGTGGCAAGCCCTGTTCTCCATGCATCTCCTGTTGGACCAAGTAGTCCTTCGAGACATGGCGGACCAAACATGCATTTTCCTACTAGCATGAGAAACTTTTCTGGAAATGCCATGGGTTCTTGGCATTTGGATAATGGTGGCCATATGAATGGTGGTCATGAATCCTCACTTCTGGAGGAGTTGAAAAACAACAAGGCAAACTGTTTTGAACTTTCAGATATTGCTGGTCATGTTGTTGAGTTCAGGTACCTCATTATTATGAAGTTGCATCTTCTAATCTTTTGATGTAGGGCTATTACTCTCTCAGGTTATCATGAAAAGTGATTATCAGCTTATTAATTCTAGAGATTTTTTTTCACCGTGCTCTATATTTTTTGGTTTGTGTTCACTTTGTTATGATCATAGAGTTGGGAATGATAGGAAAAGAATGGTCACCAAATCTTGACATACTCCCAACTTATTATATTGCCTAGTTTCCTATCTTGCTTACATTCATAAGTGCTGCCTTGACTTTCATTTCCTTAATGCCATATTGAGGGATGCTTGCATCTTTAGTCTTCTTGAGTACAAAGTCGCAGTATCTTAGTTGATATTATGTTATCAATATGCTATATATGAAAATTACTAATGATTGGTGTGGTGTCCACTGAAAGCTAGCTTTTTATCCACTTCCATGTGTAAATACTGATTGCAGAGGTGTGCTTGTTTTTGTCTCTATTATTGTAATTTTTCTTATTGTTAAGATTTAGTCGTATGTATTTCTTTACTCTTGATTATACCTGTTGTTCGTATAATCAATTTACCTTAGATTTAAAATTTTCAGTGCTGATCAGTATGGGAGCCGATTTATACAGCAGAAGCTTGAAACTGCTACTGCGATAGAGAAAGATATGTTTTTTGTTGAAATATTGCCTCAAGCATTTTCACTAATGACTGATGTGTTCGGAAATTATGTAGCCCAAAAGGTATATTCTCTTTTTGCCCGTGGAATTTGATTTGAATGGTTTTTTTAAGCATTTAATGATACAAAAATGCAAAATGTTGTTCCTTAATCAGTTTTTTGATCACGGATCGGCTGCTCAGAGAAGGGAATTGGCTGACCAACTTACAGGGCATATATTAACACTCAGTCTTCAGATGTATGGCTGTCGAGTAATCCAAAAGGTATGGTAGTTAATATAGTCCACAAGATCATAACTTGTTCTTATTTATTAAAAAAACAATTTACTATTGGTTTCTCTTTCATTTATGTTATATAGATTATTTGAAGGCGTGCAAGTTGTTGTTTTCAGTAGATATTTCTTTACTCAACATAGCATACAGTAACGATGCCTCTAGCACCTTTTTGTTGGAAAGTAACATTTTATTGTGTTCTTGACCTTGGAAACTGTGATTCATTGATGAATACATGTGTGAATTGTGATATAATATGGACAGTGGAGCAACTCATAATTTCATCTCAAATTAGGTCGTAGAACAATTGGGGGTGAAATTGATGGACACGTGGTGTTATGGAGTAATGATGGGCACTGAAAATGTGGAGACGAGTAGAGGATTATGTAAGGGGTGGTTTTGACGATACAAGGGTTTCAGGTGAGAGAGAATTTCCTCCCATTGGAGTTGGGGAGCACTTATGTCATATTGGGGATGAAATGACTACAGACCTTGGGGGATACTTGTCACACCCCAACCCTGATCAGGATAGATCCCATCGTGTTGAGCTGTGATGGGCAATTGCCAAGATCTAGTTTTGAAATATTTTTAGTCTCTTCCAATTTCATTTTAAATAAAATTACAAACAACAGGGCTACTAAAATATTCAAATATTGAAAATAAATTCATCCATAAAGTTTCTTTCATTTCATCAAAATAAATATATACAATATAGTACATGACTACAAGTAAGAGCTATAGAACCAAAAATTTAACTAGCCACCACTGTACAAAAATCAAAATAGTAAAATATCTATCAACTCAGATTTGATCTTGAACTGCTAATCAACAGTCTCCTTCCCTTTTCGAGACTCTAAAAATCACAAGCAACTAACAGTGAGCTACAACAGTGTGGGCTTCGAAAATTCAACCCCGGCCTTCGCCCGCTGTGATTTTTCTTCGGGAGAAGTTTTAACAGATTAAGTTCCGGGGTAAATTTTGGAAGGCGGATGAGGTTGTAGATAAGAAACTGTTAGACCGGCCCATCCTGGGCCGGTTGGACCGGTCCAACAGGGACCGGTCCAATTCTACGCGAGGCGGAGACGGACGGGTCGGGCGGAAGGCGCGATCCGCGTGGAGCTGGAGGGGGAAAGTTAGGAGGGAAATTTTGAACGTGTGAAGCTGTTTTAGGAAGTTTATGATTGTCCTTTATTGTCCTTTATGATTAATTCTGTATAATTAGGAGTTTGGGGGGAAAAAGGGGGGTATCTTGAATTTGAGTTTTCTCTCTGAGATCTAGGTTTTGTTTT